AACTCTAACAGTTACTGGTTTAACAACCAGACTAAACACCTTATGAAAATCAATACATGCTGCTGAAGAAAACCTTTTGCCACTAATCTTGCCTTATAGCGAGCAATTGAGCCATCGGTATTTTCTTTATTTTGAACAGCCATTTATAAGCTAATGTTCTCCTATCAGGTGGTAGAGACACGAGGGACCAAGTTTTATATTTCATTAAAGCTTCATACTCCTCCTGAACAGTAGTTTTCCAATATGGACTTGTTAAAGCTTGCTTGATGTTATGTGGTTCTTCATTAGTCCAAGCTATAGCTTGAAAAATTTTAGGCTTCGAAATCCCACTCTTACTCCTTGTTTGCATTGGATGAAAATTTAAGGTAGAGTTGTATTCAACTTCAGCAACTGTTTGACTAGGAATATCAGTAGAAACAATAGTAGAAACAACAGTAGAACTTGACACTGATTGTGTAGTTTCCAAACTATTTCCTTCATGAGCACGAGAACTACCAACTCCTGCCTCATTGTGCACACTATTCGCAGGTGATACACCATTTCCATCCATACCATGATCACCACACCCTTGTTGAGTTTGAATTTGTGGTGCAAAAATAAGTGGAAGCTCCCACGTTGAAACATGTGAATCTCCCCAATCATGACTCTTTAACCTACAAGATTCATATGGAAATTTTCCCTCATCAAAAATTACATGTCTGGAAATAAACATTCTTCCATCATCATCTAGACAACGATACCCCTTGTGTGATGGAATATACCCTAGAATAATACACTAGTTAGATCGATACTCAAGTTTATGATGATTAAACGGTCTTACTAAATGAAAACATGCACAACCAAAAACCCTTAATATTGAATAATCAGTAAGTTGTTGATGTAAGACTTCAAAAGGTGACTTTCCATGTAATACTCCTGTAGGTAAATGATTAATAAGAAACACAGCTGAGGTAAACGCATAGCTCCAGAATTTCAAAGGCAAGAAGGCTTGAGATAGTAATACCAACCCCATTTCAACAATATGACGATGTTTACGTTCAGCTTTTCCATTTTGCTCAGATGTACCTGGACAAGAGATTCGATGCTGAACTCCATTAGCTAGAAACCATCCTTTCAGCGCCTGATACTCTCCACCACCATCACTCTATAATATCTTAATCTTGACACCAAATTGAACCTCAACAAGTTTATAAAAATTAAGGAAACATTCCATAACTTTTGAATTTCTCTTAATCAAATGGAACCATATAAATATGTTGTAAACATAAACAATGACATATAATAGGCAAAACTATCACTTGAAACAATAGTGGCTGGTCCCCAAACATCATAGACAACTAATTGGAAAGGAGCAGTGTACTCAGTAATTGAATTCGAAAAAAGGAGCTTGTGAGCTTTACTTTGTAAACAAGCATTGCAAACATAAGATAAAGTGCTTTCATTGACAGCAATATTACATGCTTTAACCATGCTAAGAGCTGAATGCCCTAATCTTTTGTGCCATAAGTCTAACGGGCCACACGACTTAGAGACATTATTTAATTGCATGCATTGTATATTAGGTGACAAAAGCTGGTATAATCCATCATCCGTGAGCTTCCCTGTCAGTAATATGGTCTGTATCTGAGCATCCTTCACGAAACATTTAAACGAATGAAATTCAATAAAAAACGTTATTATCCCGAGTAAACTGTGAAACAGATAATAAGTTTTTCTGAATATCAGGAACATGCAAGACATTTTGCAAAACTAATGGCTTCGTTTTAGAGGGAAAACAACTTTGACCAGCATGAGAAATTTTAACACCTTCTCCATTCCCCATATGAAGACATTGATTACCTGTATAAGCCATACCAGTATTAAGAAGTGACACATCATTCGCAACATGATGTGATGGCCCCGTATCAGGGTACCACACTGGATCAGCATTACCAGTGGACATAACTAGTCGAGGTGAGTGAGAAGTGGAAACAAAGGCAGCTGATGGATTCACAAATCCTTGGGAATTTTTAATCGAATCTATCCCACCATAAACTTGCATTGGAGAGTACCATGGAACCCCTAGATAAAAAGATCTTGAACTAGGCATTATGAAATGCGTATTAGAATAAAAGAAGCCATGAAGAGAAGGAAAAGATACACTCATCGAGGGAAAAGATACACCCATTGCACGAGTGAACGCCTGAGCATTCGAAGGTAACTGCTGCTTGTTCGCAGAACTTTGTGATGACCTCCGCTCTTCACTACTTCGAGTATCAGTGGAGATACCTGTAAAGTTTCTATCAAAGCGATAATAGCATTTTTGCACTGTATGACCAAATTTACCACAAAGTTGGCATTTAGGACGATTCGAATTATCAAATTATCCTCAACCACGTCCAAGATAAGTATCACCCGACTGTCCTCGCATAGCATCATCTTGCTTGGTAGTGACAATGACCTCAGAAGATCCAGAATCACACTCTTTAGTATCAGTAGACTTAGAGACCAGGTTAGCTGAAATTATTTCAGTGAGAAAAGCCTTATGTCGTGTTTCACACTCAAGCAATATTTCAGTGAGCACATCTAACGACAAACTATCGCGAGAAGCAATAGCAATAACATATTCAAATTCCATGGATAAACCATCAAGAATGACACTGACTTGTTCGTGTCCTGTAATTGGACTGCCTGCAGCACATAACAAAACACAAATGGACTTGACCTTGGCAAGAAATTCACTCATTGTCTGGCCAGCTTTGCACTGAGAATGAAGACTATGTCGAATGGATGATATCTTGGCACTAGATCTAGCACCAAATAATCGAGCAATAGTGGTCCAAATAGAATAAGCAGATGTGAGTCCGGTAAGATGAGGTAATATTTCAGTGCTAACCGTAGTGAGCAACCACGATCCTAACAACTTATCTTGCTGTTAATAGAGATTGAACGTCTGAGTATCCGCAGCATGACCCGATTTCGTTGTTGTAACAGCCACAAGAGGTTCTCCTTCATCCGAAATAAACCGAAGTAAACCATAACCATTAATGATGAGAGATACCTGATGCTTCCATAGCAAATAGGTACCCTCAGAAAGTTTAACCACATCTTGTTTGGGTATGTGCTGCACGGAGGAGATCTCATCATACACACCCACACGCAGCAGTAAACTAACGATGCTGAAGCTCCCAACCCTTGGCGACTGATACCATGTTAAAGTATAAATGCAACTGAGTATTGAATGAACAAAGTGAAAGTAGTATGCATTCTTTCATTAATAGGAAACGTTCATACATTACAGTAAATGCTCACTGCCTTTATACACAAAGGAGAAGAAGTATAAAATGAAGGGAAAATACGTTAGAGATGAGAGAGAGATAGTTTGTTAGATCTAACAGCTTTAACCACCTCACACTCTTCACACATGCACACATGCATGAGATACATGCATACATCATACACTAACAGATATGATAAAATTATATTTAATAATGTCTATTAGCGTTGTCGTTACTTTTAAGCATTGGCTCGATGGTATAAATTTTTCAGCATTGGCTCGATGGTATAATGTTTTAAGCATTGACTCGATAACATAATGTAAATAAAGACTCGATCTACAAAATAAATACACTTCAAATGATTCTAAGATCAAATTTTATCATATCTCAATCAGCGCGTTAATGTCCAACTCAAAAGGCTGTCAAAATTTTAATGGAAAAATATGAGTTTGAAACATATGAATAATCGATGGTCATTTTGTAATTTTTAATTGTCAGGGGACCCAACAAAATAACACCCTATAATCGTGAGACCATTTTATAACTTTTAATAATTGAGGGACTTAATAAAACAACATCCTATAACTGGGGATCTATATTGATATACTAAGAGACGGTAATTGTAAATGTCGATAGCAACCCACTTCTTTTAATTCAAATAAACAAACACAAATTAGTACGAACTAATTTATCTCAGTATTTAAAGGAATTGTTGTCACTCCTAGAAGTTAAGAGTTCGAGCACTAGTAATTGCCAACATATATTAACTTTGTTTAGCTTAATAAAAAAAACAATAATTAAGATAATAAAAAAAAGTGATTAGAAAAATTTTCGAGAGATAACATTATATCACATTAATTTTTTATATTCAATTTTTTAACTAAATAAAAAGATATTATATTTTGAAACAATTGTCGAGATTTAAATTCACATAAAATAAAATGACAAACATTTTAAATTATTCGACCAATTAATAGATCTCAGTTTTATATCCAATTTAAGCAATGAAAACCCACCCCATGTACACCATAAATATATTCATACTATTTTAATTGAAAATAATTCGTGGGATTTTTGGAAGGGGAAAACATAACCTAAAAATGGGGGACAAAACATTAACATTTGTCATTGAAAATTCATGTACTTTCAAATTTTGAATAGCTAAACCTCATTACTTTCTTGCTGAAATGGCCTTAATATTTGGGCAGACCTTCATTCTGCAAATTTAATGCCTCCCCTACCAAATACTAATAAATACAAATATATATTTCAACTCGATCTCGGAAAGAATAATAAACGATTTGTATGATGTCTTCATTTAAAATCATTCTCGAGTAGGGATAAGTAAATAGTTATTTTAATTTGATTAAGAAGAAACTCAATTGGGATAACTTGGTTTTGATAATGAAGTTGTTCGGTTTTGATAGATCGATAATCATTGATATAAAAACCAGACCAACAGAATGTTCACCCCTAGTCTCGAGTTCGATATCTGAAAAAATCATATTCCTTTCTCTTATGAACATACATACATAACAAAGTCAATTACATGAAAAGGGAAAGATTATATTTACTGTTATTGAGTACAACCTTGAAGCTTAATATTGAACTAAACATTACAAGTTCTTCCAAAGTTCCATTTTTTATATAATTTTATGCCTAAAAGTCATAACCCGGGATAAGAAAAAGGATTACAGATGTTTGAGATTTCGGTGTTAGACTTGCTAAATCCGGGTTTAACACGAGCTAAGCCCGGTTTGACAAGGTTGTCTTAGTTTAAGAGGCTCAAGGTGCTGAGAGACTTGGTGGTTTGCAATGTAGGAAGAGAGTGGACATACTTGCAGTTGGGGCAAGCAGGGGAAGATTTGGAGAGAATGACTAGAAGATGGCAATTCAAGCATGGCAAAGTCACCATGTTAGTGGTGCTTGAAGAATGTTGTTGGTGCTTGTAGTCGCACTCTTCAACCGACACCAAACCACCGTTGAAATGTTCCGAGACATCGGAGTTTGTCGGTGAAATGTTGAGCTCGAGGTTTAGTTTCTGATCTTTAGGCCAACTCCATGTCTTTTTCAAGGTTTTCCTGTTCATGTAGTACATTCTACCTGACTGCAAAGAAACATCAAAAGAATATACACAATATAAAACATTACTTCGACTCTTCATTTTTCTTAAAAAACCCGAATCGTACAGAAACAAGTAGCATAATATACATATATGTGCATGTGTGTACATGGAGGAATATGAACTAAAATGAAAGATTTCAGGGAAAGAAGACCATACTTCAAGATCAAGGCATTGTTCCCAGTCTAATGGCAGAGGGTCTTTAACTTGAAGATCAACACTGGTTTGAAACGGCGAACCGCCATCGAGGAGCTGATCTGGGAAAAGCTTCCTCTTCTTCGAAGGAAAACCGAACCCTTCGGCTTGTGATGATGAGATGATGGACTGAAATTGCATGTTTTATCCGCTGGAACACATTGGTTCGTAGCCAAAGACAACTCTGTAAGTTCCATAACAATGACAACCTTCTAAAACTCTTTTGGGGAAATCATCAAACAGGTAAGAGGCAATGGGAGATGTGGGAGATTGAATACATAAAGAAGGGTTCATAAATTGGGTTGATCAAACACCTTTAAAAGGAGGACAGGCCAAGCATTAAAGTGGCAAGTAGATATCACTTTAATGCACCCAAAATCTTGCTTCACTTCTTATTAAACATTTTCAACTGAACTAAACATGAGACCCTCAAAATCCAACCCCCTCTTTAAATTGTTGAAAGTTCTCCATAAATTCCACCAACTCCCCTCTTTTCTTCAACTTGAATTTTTCATGACTTCCCTTCATGGGGAGTAATTATATATAAGAATTTCAAATCAATAATTGGCTGTTAGGGTCTAAGACTTAAATTATATTTTAATATGATCCCTCGTTTGATAAATAAATAAATTAAGAGGAAAAAGTAGAAATTTCTAACATCAGAGATAGAGTTATGTGATATAGACCTTTTCGTACATCTAGTCCATACAGAACAATACTTCTTGTATTAACCTTTTATTTGGAAAGTTTATAACGAATGAAAGTTGGAATTCATATTGGAGAGAAATTATTTGTCCGTACAATTATATATATGTAACTAGAATTATAAGGTTTAAAGTATTCTCGTGAGATTTTTCATATTTTTCGTTGATATAATATACTCTTCTGATTTGTTTAAGATTCTTTTATTGATAATTTTTATATGAATTTATGTGTTTCATCTTTATTGTGTGAACATTTGTTTAAAATTATTTATTGTGTAACTTATAGTATTTAATATGTGCAAATTTTTATATTTAATGCATGAACAACGCATAATTATATATATATATTGATATAGTATCATTTAATTGATTGATATTAAATATTAATCATATATTTTCATTTATATAATGAACATTTAATAAGAATATATAGTCTATTAGATGATACAAACTCTACTATAAATTAAGATGTTGATGGTTAAATTTCTCTCATCCCACACAATAACTCTTTTTCATTAAAAAATTAATTTTTGTTATTTTTCAAATTTTATGTTTTTTTATTGATTCAATCGATTTCAAAAAAAATCAATATCATATTAATATCCAATCTTATGGATCACTGACTCATTTTCATTCTTACGTTTTTCTCCTCTTAAAAATCAAAAAGCATGAAATCGCAAAGCCTCTAAGCATACAGCTACAAAAAGTACACATGGAGAAAACAAAGCACATGAAATAGGTCTAGCTAGTTAATATGATGGTGCCGATGGGTAAAAATAAGGGCACCTATAACATTGTACATTAGATATCCTGAAACAGTGATTAATAACCAATTTGGAAATCCAGAGGTACTGTACCCTAAACCATAAATACATCCATTGCAGTTCACCTAATTTCAAATTTCAAAGTTTAAATTAATTTTTTTAATCTGAATGATTTTTTAGAACAAAGATAAGTGCTTTGGTCGGACATTCGAACAATTCAAAACTCGAAATTTAAAAAAGAAAATCATTTTTAATCGAATCGAGTTTTGCTCATCTCTAACTTATATATAAGAGCATGAATTAGGGGGTCCACTTATATGTGTAGGTGAATTGGTTGAACAAGTTAATTACAAAGAAATGCAGCGAATTTTGTGTTTGCTGCTGGTCGATGCATTAATTCGTTACATTAATAATTGATCCAAACCCTAAATGTTTGCAGTAAATGAGGAGAGCCAGAAACCAGGCTCCATCTGCATGTGTACAACTTAGGGTTTCAACTACTTTGCCATGCATTTATCAAAAATGCTTCCCAAACTTTAAGTTTCATAATTACCTTTCCTTTCCTTGCAATTCTTCTCTACCAACTGTGAAACTATGGGCAGACAGAACCCAGGTCTTGTCGATTTTAAATTAGAATCGATCAGGAAGGATATCATTGGTCACAAGATCATATTTTCTCCTATAAAAAATATATTGGTAAGGAGTGTAACGTCACCGTTTCTAAACACAAGGTCCTCACTTTTTCTTTTCGATTTCGATGTGGTATAAATACATTCTACCTTCATCTTTAGACAGTTTATTTCCCTCTTTGAAGTGTCAAACGTGATACGGGACAAAGGTTGATTGTGTGATGTTGGAGTTGGTGTTTTGAATGCACTTCGATACCTAAATTAGAGAGTATTCTTGTGGAAAAATGAAGGAAAGCTCAATAGAAGAATCAACAAAGTAACGGTTAAGAGAAAGATAGAGAAGATGTTTGAATAAGGAAAATACTGATGATAATAAAAAAAAGTATACTGTGTTATCGTTTCGTTAAAGCATTGACAGTTACAAGGAAAAGTAAGCTAAGAAGAACGAGAAGAGAATGAGAAGCAAGATTGTAGAACTTGATTCATTTCATAAGATCATAATTCTCTCAATCGTAGAGAGCTACATTTATACATCATATAAGAGCAATACTAGAAGCTCTAACAGTTACAACAACCTTAACTAACTCTAACAAATCTAACTATGATAAGACAGCTAAGCAAAACAGCTTTTCCAGATTGTACACACTAAAATTCATGCTACTGCAAAACCCTCCTTGATTAAGACCACCAATTTACGTGAAACCAAGGTGTACACAACATCATGCTTCTACACTCCCCCTACTGTAGCCTCCTCCTAATCTAAACACCAACTACACATGAGAACCCGAAGTGCGTGCAAACTCATACACTAACACTCCCCATATTGCAACCTCAACCTCGCTCAGGCTTAATTCACTCTTCAACCCGCGATTCCACAAATTTATCTGGAATTTGAGACACAAGCAGCCGTTGTCTATGTTTGAGAAACATAGGAGCAAACAATGGCTTAGTTAAAACTTCAGCCACTTGCTCAAAAGCAGGAACCTCCTGAACAGAGAGTTTTCCAGCAGCCACCATCTCCCTAACAAAGAAAAAATCAAGCTCAGCATGCTTAAACTTTGAATGGAGTATTGGATTTGCACAGGCTGTAACAACACTAGAATTGTCACACCATAAAACAGACTTGCCATGAACGGTCACACATAGTTCACTTAAGAGTGACTCAAGCCACACCATCTCAGTAGCAGCACACACAACACTCCTATACTCAACCTCTGCAGTGGAGCGAGCAACCACCTACTGCTTGCGTGAGCCCTAGGAAACTAAGTTTCGAGCAAAATAGATGTAGTAGCCCGAGGTCGAACGTCTGTCATCTGCATCGGACCCCCAGTTTGCATTAGTAAACCCTGTCAAGGACAAGCGAGACGATACTGAAAACCAAAGACCAAAGTCGACAGTGGCCTCTAAGTACCTTAGTATGCGCTTCACTGCCTGAATGTGGACATCACATGGAGACTGCATAAACTGGCACACCCTATTCACTGCAAAGGCAATGTCTGAACGGGTGATAACAACGTACTGCAGTGTACCAACAATACTTCGATAGTGTGTAGCATCTTTAACCAGTGTCCCATTGTCAACAGTCAACTTGCAACTAGTAGCCATAGGCGTAGGAAGTCCTTTAGCATCTTTCAAACCACTCTTACACAAAATATCTCGTATGTACTTTTACTGACTCAGAATAATTTCATCATCTGGTCGATACACCTCAATTCCTAAAAAAAATCAAACACCCTAGACCCTTCAAAGCAAACTGACTATTAAGCTTGTTAATCACCTCCTGAACTTCTTCTTCACAACTTCCAGTCACAATGATGTCATCTACATACACAAGCAAGTATATGATATTACCATCAGTCTCCTTAACAAACAACGAAGCATCGTACCTTGACAGTATAAATCATTGATTCTCCAAATACTCTTTGAGTTTCTCGAACCATGCTCGAGGAGCCTGCTTCAGACCATAAATGGTTTTGTTGAGTTTACAAACCAAGCTACCATCACCATGCTCATAGCATGGCGGTTGCACCATATACACCTCCTTAGCTAAGACTTCATTCAAAAAGGCGTTGTTGACAACAACTTGCTTTAGCGACCATCCTTTCGATAATGCAAGGGATAGAACGACACACACAGTTGCTGGCTTGACCACAGGGCTAAAAACTTCATGATAATCAATCCCAGGCTACTGCAAAAAACCCTTGGCCACAAGTCAGGCTTTGTGCCTTGCTATAGACCCATCAACATTTCTTTTGATTTTAAAAATCCACTTGCAACTTACTGGTTTCCTACCACTCGATAGCGAAACAAACGTCCACGTGTTGTTCTTCACTAGTGCATCGTATTCGGCTTGAGCTGCTACCTTCCATTCTGAGCTTTTCATGGCTTCTCGAATGGTCCGTGGTTCTTTATCTAAATAAGCTACTTGAAAAATTTTTGGTTTCCGAATTCCACTCTTGCTTCGGGTTACCATAAGATGAACATTGCATTGTTCTTCATTATGTTGTACTATAGCAGGTTGTGATTCTTCACAGAATCCTAACTCATTATCGTTCAGATTAGTTGATGCACTAAACACAGGCTCTCCTGGATCGACTTCCTCAACAGGTGTTATTAAGCCATTACCTGCACATACACTGTCCTCTACAGCACCAACTACGTGTGGTGCATCAGCCATATGTGTGCTAGGGTTCTGCATATAGGCACAAGTTGAATTTGGTGATTCTCTACTCTCTAGCAATCTGACTTGGCTCTCGGATCGACTGTATTACGGGTAGAACATTAACCGAGGAATCGCGACTTCGATCAACTGTCTTTCCCTCAGAATAAGGGAATACTTCTTCATCGAATACAATATGTCGTGAGATAAAAATCCTCCCATTTTCATCTAAACACTTGTACCCTTTGTATGAATGGCTATAACCAAGAAACACACTGTTTCGACCTGAATTCTAACTTGTGCTGATTAAATGATCTCAAAAGAGGGAAACATGCACAACCAAAGACTTTTAGCATGGAATAATCAAGAGCTTGTTTATGAAGGACCTCAAAAGGTGACTTGACATTCAATAATTTTGTTGGCAACCGATTTATTAAGTGTACAACTTATACAAAGGCATGACTCTGATACCATGTTATCGTTTCGTTAAAGCATTGACA